CATCCATTTGTAGATATTCAATGGCAGATTTGAACTTTGCACTTCTACCTGGTGATGACTTCACTCATTTCACACAATCTCGAACCCTTTCTACAGCAACTCCAACCTCCTTCAACCCGTCTGACACAACCAAATTGATTATATGTGCCACACATCGAAATTGCAAATACTTCCCACCAAGCAAATCTGTTCCCCACTCTTTCATCTTTGTTCTCATACACTCTATAAGAACATCATTAGAAGAAGCATTATCCATGGTAATGGAGAACAAATGTTGTGCTTTCCAATCTTGTAGACACTCTGTCAATTTTTCTGCAATATCCTTCTCACTGTGACTAGTGATGGGAACAAAGCTAATGATCCTCTTCTGCAGCTTCCAGTCACTCCCAATGAAATGAGCAGTTACACACATGAAGTTCTGGTTGTTATCAGAAGTCCATGTATCTGTGGTGATAGAAATTCTTCCTTTGCACTTGGATTTGAAGAACTCAGATAACAACTCCTTTTTCTCCAAAAATATTATATAACAATCCTGCCTTATTGTCATTCTTCCAGGTATCACAAACAATGGTTGGGTTACCGCCATAAATCTCTTAAACCCTTCATGCTCAACAAAGCGAAATGGCAGCTCATCCAAGATGATCATTACAGCTAATGCAGTTCTAGCTTTTTGTTGATCAAACTTCCATGGAGTAAGAGAGCCTACCTCACCATCCCCAGGCTGATAATTCAATAGTGATTGACCACTGGCTTCCTTCCTCTTTCTCTCGCATGACAAGTGATGGTTTTTCAAACCAGTAGTCCCGTTATTGATCGAGTGAGCTTTTATCAGAGTTCCACACTGTTTGCATTTACCATATGGGTAGTCATCCACCACAGCATCATCATAATAATCCCACCACGGGGATCTCTTCTTCCTTCCCGGTCCCTTGACATTTTTCTTGGGCTCACCAACTCCATCCGCTGGCGTAGCAACTGCAGGTGTTGCAGTAGCAGTAGCAGGTGCAGATTCAATGCCTGTGGCTGTGGTAGGTGTAGGTGTACTAGATGAGACATTCCCTTGATTCCCTTCTGCAACTCCAACACGAGTACCCAATTTTTTGGAAGTGGTTCGAGGAGGAACTGAACCACTTTTTTTCGGACCATCTCCTTTACGAGGACGAGAAGGTTTTGTCCTATAACAAAAAGTAAAAAAACATAGTAAGATTAAAAATCATTAAAATGTCATTGCCGACATGTCAAAAAAAAAAATCACCCAAACATAAACCATTGAACCACTATCTTACATTTTTCACTTTGTTTTTCAAGTAACAAAAAACCAAAAACCACTCCTTGACCTTGACCTTGTGGCTGTCGGCTGTACCACTACCACCCCTTGTTTAGTTGTTTCACTTTTCACTTTATTATTTGCTTCTGCCTTCTGCCAAAAATGAAGAACAATACAAAATTAAAAATTACAAAACAAACCAAATCATAATAGTTAATAAATATATTACTTCTGCGGACTGCGGTTCTGCCAAAACCAAAAATCACATGCTTGCTTCTCTCTTCTCTGCTCGGCAAACGACATCAGTCTACAAGAGAGTCGAGAGTCGAGACTCCGAGTCTCCGACAGTCCACAAATGACAAATCAATGAATGGACAATGGTAATGGCGAAAATCAATGGACCTCAGACGCAGCCTACCGTAGGAGAGTCGGAGAGTCGGAGAAGGCGAGCTGCTGGCGCTGGGCTGTGCAATCGAGTGATTAACCTCAGACGGCGACGAGGTTCGACGCAAACAGCGACAACGACGAAGGGCGAGCTGCTGGGTCGTGTCTCTTGCCCGGAGCTAGTTTCGATCGACGACGGAAGGCCTTACCGGAAACAGAGCCTGGCGGAAGGGCTTGCCGGAAACAGAGACTGGCGGTGAGGACTGAGGACTGCTGGCGGAACGGCAACAGGGGAAATAAAGCCCGATGCAAAATTGCAAATATAGTTTTAGGTTAATTGCTTAGGGAGTTAGGGTAGGGCTTCTGTTGGGAGAGTCGCGGAGGGCCTGGACTTTTGATTTTGATGGATTGCGTCATTGCGATTTGCGGCAAGTCGCCGCGATGCTTTGTCCAAATCGGTAACGGAATACCGTTCAGCCGACGGTATTTTACCGGCCCGACCTCGGTACACCGTTCCCCCACAAAAGCCATCCGATTACCGTTTGATTCGGTTAACGGGTTAACCGATAACCACGGTTACCGGTACGGTTATCGGTTAACCCGTTAACCGGATTACCGGTTAGCAGCCCTAATTATTTCCATGCAAATTCCAAATATGCTCAACTAAGTCCTGACGAAGCCCATGATGTGTTGGTGCAGCACGAAGCCTATTATTCCTAGCCAAGTACTCAGTTAGGGTTGGAATATCTCTGTCGACATTAGTTGGTTGTTGGTCGTGACCTCATAATCAAGACTATCTTCCATCTCATCGTCAGAATCAACCTGCCCATCCTCGATTATCATGTTGTGCAATATAATGCATGTCAACATTATATCATTAATTGTGGCAACATCCCAAGATCTCGTAGGGCCACGAACGATTGCCCATCTAGTTTGAAGAACTCCAAATGCCCGCTCTACGTCTTTTCGATGTGCTTCTTGACATCGAGCAAACATGACTTCTTTGTTTAAGTTTGGATTGCTGAATGTTTTCACTAAAGGAGAGGCATGCTTCGAGGGCTGAGTATGAGCGAAAAAGGATGGAATTCCAAGAACAAAAATCAAAGTGTGACCAAGAAAAGTGGGAACTTGAGAAAAAAGAGAGGGAAGCAGCACTATTTCGTGACAACCTTGATCTTCTTGAAAAGGACTTGTCGAAGTTGACACCAAGAAAGAGGAAGTATTACAAAAATCACCAAAACATGCTTCTAGGGTATGATCAAGATGATCCCAACTCTGTACCCAACTATTCATCCAACGCAAGTCAGACCGAAGGAGGAGATGGAAGTGGAGGCGGAGACGAAGATGGAGGAGGAGATTACGGGAATTACTGTTCCCTTATGGGCGATTATTGACATGTTATGTGTTTCACCTTTACCATTTCAAGTGTTAGTGTGTTATTTTTCAGCTTTATCATTTTCAAGTGTTTTGTGTAATATTTAAGCTTTATCATTAGCAAGTGTTGTGTGTAACCTCTGAGTTGTATAATTTGAATTTATGTCCATAAATTTTTCGCCAAAAAAATTCGGTCTCGGAATTTTAAAAAATTCTATCGAAAAATTTGTATTTAAAAATGATGACGAACTATATAAAAATTAACACGAACAAATTATTAAGACTTCGATAAGTACATTTTTAAGTAAATGGAAAACTGAAAAAAAATGGAGATCTCCAAATTTGGGAATGGTAGCATTGGACTATTGGAGCCAAATTGAAGAAAATCAGGACAATCCCAAATTTTGGGATGAACGACCCCTTGACCTGAGTGGCTGGTTCTAGGGGTGGAAGTTTGGGTTGCGGGTTGTGGATAATCCGCAAACCGCACCAACCCGCACCTATTGTGGGTAACCATACCCACAAGTAGGGGTGGGCATTGGGTGGGTCGGGTGGATTTTGACCATAAAATGCACCCACCCGCGCTTAAACGGATTGATAATTTTTAACCCACCACCCACCCACATTTAGTCTCGGGTTGGGTCGGGCGGATGGTGGATGATGCGGGTGGATTTGTGGGTTTACCCACATCATAATGTATATAATATAAAAGAGTCAACTTGACATGATAATAGGTGAAGAGAATCATCGAGGGGAACAATGAGTTGAAATAGGGCGAAAAATGTCGAATTAGTTCTTAAATTGGATAGAAATTCTATTATGAAAGAGTTTTATACAGATTGAGAAGATTATTAGGTGCAAGGAATTAAGGAAAATAATTCCACAAAGGAAAGAGCGGTGATCTAGGCACAAGAATTAGAGGAAAAAGTAAAGGGAAGAAGAGGAGATCTCTATTTGGAAGGGGTTGGCTTTGAGGTTCAAACTCTAGGAGCATTCCGAGTTTATATCTAACGTCTCCACTCTCCTCTCTCTAGCGCCAACGACTTTGATCTTTTTGCTGTTGGGTTGAGCGGGTCACCCGCACACTCACCCACAACCCATCCACCACCCGGCGGATGGCTCCCAGCTCAACCCGTCACCCACCCACAGACCCACCCACTTAACGAAATTCGGGTCAAATACGGGTGGGTCGGCCCAAACCCGCGGATGATCCGCCCGCATGCCCAACCCTACCCACAAGTTGTGGATAGTGGGTTGGGTGTGGGTAGTAAAATAACGATTTTTGTGGTTAGTGGTTCTCCACTACCCACCGCGGTTAACCCACAAAATCCACAATAACCACACTAATTATATTTATTTAGTGAATTAACTTTATAATATAATAGTATGTGAAAAGTGCGAGGATAAAAATTAAAGTAGCCACCAAATAAAAAAGACACACCTAATCAGTTTTATGTAAAAAAAAATAGTTTTTAAAACACTATAATCGGTAGAGTAGAGAATAATCAATGCATTAATAGTGAATACTTTTTGTAACTTTTATCAGTATGTTTTTGCTTTTGTGTGAAAAAAATATAAAATCAAATTTAATTGTCATATTTCACCCCTAGTCGGGGAAATATGAAATCACAGCTCTCTGACACAAAAGTTGAATACCAATTACCAAACTCAAAAAGAAAGATATCAACGTTGAGTAAGATCGATGTACAAAACTGTATCTCCACGAACAACACAAGTGTATATCACTATAGTCTAGTTACGAACAACAAATACATTAGTGGCGACTAGAACTCTATACTTGCAAAAATGGATTTTTGCGGCTAACCACACCCTATCCGCACAAACCCACAATGAATGCGGATTGTGGGTAACATAATTATAAATTTGTAGGTGTGTGCACCCGCAAAATATGGGCGGGTAACCACACCCACTCCAATTTCCACCCTAGCTGGTGCGATTAACCCCAAACGCTGCAGTGCACAGTCCAGTAGTCCACTTTTCCGCTCTGACGCTCTGTTTCCCTTTCTTCCTTCAATTTGGTCCACTCCCATTCCTACTTCCACTTCTCTCGCTGCTCCAGTCAGCTCCGAGTCCAAGCCACTGCGCGCCCTCCAGTCATACCATCGCTGCCGATTGCATGGGGGAGGTAGCGGTGGAAGTCGCACCGGCGGCGACAGAGACCTTCGAGAGGCCGACCGTCCGGGTCTCAAACATCCCTCTAACCGCCGTCGCCAAAGACCTCCAAACCTTCCTCGAGTCCCAACTCGGCCCGGACTCGGTCTTCGCCGTCGAAATCCTCACGGAGCGGAAGAACTGGAAGTCCCGGGGATTCGGCCGCGTCCAGTTCTCTTCCCTGCCGATCAAACGCAAGGCCGAATCCCTGTCCCGCGAGGGGAGCCTGGTTTTCAAATCCCGAGCCCTAGAAATCTCAGAGACCTACGACGACATTGTGCCCAGGCCCTTCGATGAGCGCAACAGAATAGAGAAGGGAACGCTGTACGCTGGTTTTATGAGGTCGGAGAGGGATTTGTGCACGTTGCAGTGCTGGGAAGGCGTGAGAGGATGGGTTTTGCCGGAGAAGCAGAGGGTCGAGTTCTGGGTTTCAGTTGAGGAAGAGTGTTATAAGCTGGTTTGGCCCTTTGAGGACATTTTGGAGACTTTTGGGTGTTGTTGGGGGGATGGTTGCAAAGTCACTGCACTTCTCTTGAAGGTATACCCTTTCTCCTTAGGGTTCCATTTTGCATGTGTTTAGGGTTTAAGGGCCTAGTTGAATGATATGATAGGTGGGAAGTTGAGCAATAGTTCTCCACATGATTGATGAAATAGGTTATGCAGTTTGTTTATTCAGTGATGAGACACTAGAAGAGCAATGTACAAACTGTCTCAACCTGCCAACTTGTTTTGGTCAGAGTGCTTGATTGATCATTGCTTGCATGAAGATAGTTGCGAGAAAGCTGATTCCCGTGATGTTTATGGTCTTCGTTGGCCTCTTGCGACTCTGACTGCTGCTTATTATGAAGTTAAAATAGCCGCAAGCAGTCTCCAGGCTCCATGCGTAATCACTAAAACAATGTGCATTCAAAGTCATAGCATAAAAAGGCACATTTCCTTTCCGGCTGCATAAAACTCAGATTTGGCTAGTTTTTAGCATTGCAATAAAGCAGGGCACGTTTAGTCTTTGCTAGTCTTCGTGCTGTTTTCCCAAAATATTTTGGCTGCTAATTTCCCCGGCTGGGTGCACTCAAAGATTTAGGTTGCTCCTCGATGTGATCGATAAGGCTTTCTTGAAACAGACGGAACAGGAGTTTGGCACTTGGAGAAAGGATTTTTCCTAGAACAGTATGTGATGTGGTGTAACTAGACCTTATTCCAACTCAATTTTACTCTGCATTAGGTGGCAGAGAGATGAATATGTGAATTCTGGTGAAGCACTGATTCCTGGTTCTAGAATAAGTAATAGCATTTTTGTCACAGGAAAACATATTTCTTGAATAGGCTGGTCTTAACACCTTTTTCTCTGTTGTATGTGGCCAACCTGGCATTTGAAGCACGAGAATTAGGTTGTGACAGTAAATACATTATGCCTAATTTTTCTGTTACTCCTTTTCTCCAAGTCTTTGTTTAGTCAGGTCATTTTTTATATAAAACTTTTCTTTAACAACATTTTAATTTGGTTCATTGCTGCTTTACGTTTTAGCACCTTGCTAGCTTAAAAGGGTATACATTTGAATCTCCTGAATAATTTTCTATAATCACGTTTCGTCGTCCATCTATGGTAGAGACGTGGAGTAAACTTTTCATAATACTATGTTCCCTTTATTCTTGTTCTTGGGGATTCTGCCACTGGACTTCATGCATTCAATTTGTGCTCCCTGGATTCTTACCTTATCATAAGGGTTTTATATTTTCAGGTACAATTTGGTCCAAGAATATATAAAAAAGTTTCTGGTCCTGATGTTGCTTCGAGATTCAACCAGGATAGATATAACATCTGCATGGAAGACTACAACTTTGTTTGGGTACGTACAACTGACTTCTCTTCTGTGAAGTCAATTGGCTCTTCGAATGCATTCTGTTTGGAAGCTGATGAGGAATCAGTTTCTGAAATCTTCAAGTGTCTTCCTTATTACGGGGGGCCTCTAAAAGATCTGACTTTGGAGGACTGGTTTGAATACTGTTCTGCATCTGAAACAGTTCCATTGGTAAAAACAGATGCAAACATAGATTATGAGATCATTTTCCAGCTTAACTCTCTTGTTCATACTCAAAAGATAAGCCTGGCAGCTGTAGATGCTAATCTTGTGAACATCCTCAGTGGTCAGACTATAGAGACTGCTACAAAGATTCTCGAAAAGTTGCACCAGCTGAATTCAATGTGCTACAATCCAGTGGACTTTGTGAAGACACAGTTAAGTGCTCCAAGCAGAAACCTTCAAGGACCTATGGCAGCATCTACGCGAAGCAGCTCCTCCACAAGTTATAAAAAGATAATGTGTTGTCACAGGGCTTTGATTACACCTTTAAAGATTTACTGCTTAGGACCTGAGCTTGAATCATCTAATTATGTGGTAAAACACTTTGCTAAGCATGCTGCAGACTTCATGAGAGTGACTTTTGTTGAGGAAGACTGGAGCAAGCTTCCCCCTCAGTCGATTTCCACAAGCATCCAGCAAGATATATTTGCAGCTCCTGTTAGAACCAAACTATATGACAGGATATTAACTATACTTAAGCACGGGTTTGTGATCGGAAAAAAGAAGTATGAATTTCTCGCATTCTCAGCAAGTCAACTGAGGTCGAATGCTGTTTGGATGTTTGCTTCTAATGAAGAATTGAAAGCAGAACATATTCGAGAATGGATGGGTTGCTTCAACAAGATCCGTAGTGTGTCAAAATGTGCTGCAAGGATGGGTCAACTATTCAGTGCTTCTTCACAAACTGTAGAGGTTCCTGCCCAAGAAGTCGAGATTATTCCAGATATCGAAATTACAACGGATGAAGATGTTACCTATTGTTTCTCGGATGGCATAGGCAAAATCTCTCTTCCTTTTGCTAGACAAGTTGCTGAAAAGTGTGGACTGAGTGAAACTCCATCAGCATTTCAAATTCGATATGGTGGGTATAAAGGTGTGATTGCTGTCGACCGTAGTTCTTCCAGGAAACTGTCATTGAGGCCTAGCATGCTGAAATTTGAGTCGGACAACAGGATGCTTAATGTTACAAAGGGGAGTGACGCGATGCCTTGCTATTTGAATCGAGAGATCATTTCTCTCTTGTCTACCTTGGGTGTGAAGGATGAAGCATTTGAATCTTTGCAACTTGAACAGCTGCAACAAGTGGGGCAAATGCTCAGCAGTCGAGATGCAGCTTTAGATGTGTTGGAAAATCTTGCTTGGGCTAATGCAAAGCATGTGTTGGTCAAAATGCTGCTTCAAGGTGGTTATGAGCCTAACCAGGAACCTTATTTATCAATGATGCTCCAATCTTATCATGAAAGTCTGCTGTCAGAGTTGAAAGGTAGGTGTAGGGTATTTGTCCCCAAGGGACGTGTTCTCATTGGATGTTTGGATGAGAGTGGCATCTTGGAATATGGCCAAGTTTATGTGCGTTTGAAAAGGACAAAAGCAGAGGAGCTACAATGTGGGGATCAGAGTTACTTCAGGAAGGTGGATGATAAGACATCTGTGTTGACAGGGAAGGTGGTCGTCACTAAAAATCCATGTTTGCATCCAGGTGATATCAGAGTGCTTGAGGCCGTGTATTCTGAGGTCTTGGAAGAGAAGGGTTTGTTCGACTGCATTCTATTTCCCCAGAAGGGACCAAGGTAAGCCTACACATGCCGTAGATTTGTTTTTGGTTATCTGTGTTCTGATATGAATAATCTTTCCTAGGCACTTCTGCACTAGAGAATGAAGTGAAATAGTATCTTCTCGTTGTGTTAGTGATCAAGCCAATGGCTGATCGTCTTAATTCACAGAAACTATATCTTCAGTCAAGTCAACTCGATGGTTAAATCTGTTAGTTTGCTAAGAAGCTCTCTCTCGTAGGCCACATCCAAATGAATGCTCGGGCGGTGACCTCGATGGTGACCTGTTCTTCATAAGTTGGGACAAAGACCTCATCCCACCTCAAGTCGTGCCTCCCATGGACTACCTCGGAGGAAGACCTCGAATCATGGATCACAAAGTCAGTTTAGAGGTAAACTCCTAGCTCACCCGCTTTGACAATTCCCACAAACAACCTCCCTTTTTCGTTTTTATCCCATGCCCTTTTATGCAAAATCTCAATACTCTGTCGAAATTCCACAGGAAATACACAAATTCTTCGTCGATTACATGGTGAACGACACGCTGGGTGCCATCTCCACCGCACATCTAGTCCTCGCGGACCGCGAACCAGAAAAGGCCTGTAGCTCAAAGTGCTTGGAGTTGGCTCAACTCCACTCCATGGCAGTCGACTTCGCCAAAACAGGAGCACCAGCCGCCATGCCCAGGTACCTAAAACCCAGAGAGTACCCCGACTTCATGGAGCGAACCGAGAAGCCAATGTACATCTCCACTGGAGTTCTCGGCAAGCTCTACCGAGCCACCCTCGAATCTTCCGCGCGAGCTGGGGTCACCTTCGTCTGGTCAAAGGAGGTCGCCGAAGCAGCTTACGACCTGGACCTTGAAGTGGAAGGCTTCCGGGACTTCCTGCCGCTAGCCGAGGCCCACAAGGACATGTACGTGGAGAAACTGAGCATGCTGATGAACTACTACGACGCGAAGCACGAGGACGAGATCATGACCGGGAATCTGCGCAGAAAGGCGGCATATCTTCAGCGGGACAACCGGAGGTACGGCGAGACGAAGGATCGGATTCTCGTGGCGACGAAGAGCTTGCAGATGGAAGCGAAAGAGTGGTTCGAGAATGGATGCAGCGTGAAGCAACGTCAGCAGCTGGCGTCTGCGTGGTACCACGTAACGTACCATCCGGATTATTTCGAAGAAGGCACGACGACGACGTGCTTGAGCTTTCCATGGATCGTCGTCGACACTCTTCTTGGGATCAAATCCGCGAACCGTCGAGACATGTTGGTCGATCAGGAGACAACGACGACGGATTAACTGCACCTAGTTTCGTCATGTCTAATCGAGCATCATCTTGCCGAGAATGTGAGTGAGAAATCCTGACGATATCAACGCGTGCTGTGCAGGTGACTTTTGCCATCACGAATGAAATGGTTTCGACTGTCATAGTCACAGGAGTCCTACTCTTGCTAATGGAATCATGAGGAAGATAATGTTTGATTAAGATAACTTTTATGTTACCAGCCGGTTGATTGAATAGGGATAATGATAACAATCTGCCGAGCTGTGCCCAACTTACCAAGTTGAATTAGCCAATGTATTGATCAAAGTGGAGGAGCTAATTGGGTGGGTTAGGAGATGGATTAGTGCGTTAGGTACAACTTGATTATAGCAATTGGAAGTGCAATTAAATTAAGTGGTTCATATTTTGGATGTTAGCCAGCACAGCTACGCCTCGCCTCCAACAGGCAACAGCAATGTGCTACAAAATCCATATCCAATCCCTGTCATCCGGCCACCAACCGGTCCAGTCCAGTGGGAAAAAATTATCCAAAAGGGAATCTGTGGGGCGCCACCCTTCTATTGAGGGTAGTTTGGAGCCTTGCATTTCTAGCGATTAAGTTTCAGGAGATTGCTTCTCAAAAGGTTTGGCACTTGGTTGTGGTGTATGGTCCGCAAGATAGGGAGGAGAAGTTGGCTTTCCTCAATGAGCTTCATGCTCTTGGGCAGAATATTATTGATCCCTTATGTGTGGCAGGGGACTTTAACTTGGTTCGGTGTCATGATGAGTATAGGGGAGCTAGAAGAAATAACAATCTCATGATGGAATTCAACAATGTTATTGATGATTGCGAGTTCTTGGAGCTTCCTCTTGGAGGCAGTAACTTCACATGGTGTAAAGGAGGAGATAGCAATTGCCTATCTCGAATTGACCGGGTTTTTGTCACAGCAGGTTTTGACGAAGCTTTTCCGGATTGCTCTCTTATTGCTCTTGAACGAATAGAATCTGATCATAATCCTTTGTTGATCAGTTGGGGTGACAGGCATAGAGTGCATAGACCTTGGAGGTTCGAGAACATGTGGTTAGAGGATGCGAGGTTCTTTGTAAGTTTAAGTAGTTGGGTTGATTCTGAGATCCAGGGTCGGGGGATGGTTTTTAGATGGTCAAAGAGATTGCAAGATCTTAAGGGCAAGATTAAGGTTTGGAACAAGGAGGTGTTTGGGGATTTGAATAAGAAGCTTGAAGAACTCACTTCTAAGGTTCATGATATTAACCAGCAGGAGGAGGAGAGGTTTTTGGTGATTGAGGAGGCGAACGAGAGGGATCTTCTGCTGGCTGAGATTGGGAAGGTTCTTGACCTTCTGGAGATTTCCTGGAGGCAAAAGTCGAGAGAGCTTTGGCTGCATAAAGGTGATAGGAATTCCGGGTTTTTCCACAGAATGGCTAATTACAGGCGGAAGATCAATCGTGTAGGGTGTATTAAAATCAATGGGGTTTTAATGGAAGGAAAGGAAGAGGTGGCTGCTGGTGTCGTGGATTACTATAAGGGTTTGTTCCATGAAGATTTGATTTTGCGTCCCTTCCCTATGTCCTATATATGCAACAAAATCAGTGAGTTTGACTCAATCATGCTTGACAGGGCCTTCTCAGAGTTGGAAATATGGGAAAGTATCGCCGAGAGCGATGGGGGAAAGGCTCCGGGTCCGGATGGATTTACCTGGGAGTTCTATAAGAAGAGCTGGGGTTTGATCAAGGGAGAGGTTATTAGTGCTTTTGGGGACTTCTTCTTGTCAGGATACTTGCCTAACTGCACAACACACTCGTTCATTTGTCTGGTTCCTAAAAAAGACTCGGTGGAAGACATTAAGGATTTGAGGCCAATTAGCTTGATGGGCAGCTTCAACAAATTGGTCAGCAAAGTTCTTTCTCGCAGGTTGAGCAGTGTTCTTCCCCAGCTTGTTTCTAAACATCAACATGCGTCTGTCAAGGGTAAGCAGATTGGTGAAGCAGGGTTAATTGCGTTTGAACTGGTTGATAGTCGGAAGAAGAGCAGAAAACCGGGTTTGATGTTCAAATTGGACATCGAGAAGGCTTTTGATAATGTGAACTGGAACTGCCTGTTTCTCATCCTCTCTCGTATGGGCTTCTCTAGTCAATGGCAAAAGTGGATTAGGGCCACGATGTGCAACCCCAAAATCTCTATTCTTGTTAATGGGGAATCGAAAGGGTATTTTGATACTGAGAAAGGGTTGAGACAAGGTGATCCTCTATCCCCTGGGTTGTTTACTTTGATTATGGATGTCCTTTCTTTTATGATCTCCAAGGTGCGGGAGGAAGGGAGAATCTCTGGCTTTTTCATGAATGAGGAGGGTGGTGGGGGGGAGGTCACTCATCTATTGTTTGCCGACGACACCCTAATATTTTGTGATGCGGAGTACAGCCAGGTGGTCAATATCCTCGCAACGCTTGTCTGCTTCCAAGCTGTTACCGGTCTCAGAATCAATTTGGACAAATCTGTCATGTTCACTGTAGGGGATGTGCCTAACCCTGACTTCTTCGCATCCATTTTTGGGTGCAATTGGAGTGCGGAGGCGTCGAAATACTTGGGTTTCCCTCTTGGGGCGAAGCCCAATGCAATCTCTCTGTGGGACCCGATTGTGGATAAGTACAGGAAGAGGCTCGAAGGTTGGAAAAGCAGGTACCTTTCTTTTGGGGGAAGATTAACATTGATCAAGGCTGTTCTTTCTAATCAGACGGTCTACTATTTCTCTCTTTTCCGAGCTCCGAAGATGGTTATTAAAAATTTGGAGAGCATCCAAAGAAGGTTCCTGTGGAGCGGTTCGAGTGATAGCCAGAAAATGGCTCTGGTTAGCTGGGACATCTGTAAAGCTCCTCTTTCGAAAGGAGGACTTGGAATTATGGACCTGGAGTCTTTTAATAGAGCCATGTTGGGGAAGTGGTTGTGGCGATACTGTTCTGAAAGGGACAGCTGGTGGAGGGGTTTAATTAACAGTAAGTATCCGAACCAGCTATCGGAGTGGGGCACTGCTAGGTGTAGACAAGGTTTCTCTGGGTCGGTGTGGGCAAATATCTCGAAGGAGTATGATGACTTCTGGAAGAAGGCTAGTATTGATCCCGGCAATGGTGATTGGGTCTCCTTTTGGCATGATAGCTGGATTCCCGGTGTGGTGCTCGCCGATGACTTCCCAAGGGTTGCTGCTGCTTCTAGCTTTCCGAACGCCAGGGTCTCAGACGCCATAACCTTCTCTGGTGAGAGTATTTCTTGGTCCATTCCTTTACATTTTAATCTTAGGGGGGGTGCGGAGAGGGAAAGGGGTGAGTGTATGAGTTTGCTCTATTCTCGGGGGTCTGGTAGGGTTACCAATGGGCCTCCTCGGCCGGTTTGGTTGCCCTGTCCGGATAGCTCCTTCTCGGTTTGTTCTTTTTACAGGTTCCTTACTGGGGAAAAGTTCAATGGCGTCCCTGTTTTTCCTTGTGATTCCGTTTGGAGGCATATCATCCCCACGAAAATCTGCTGTTTTCTGTGGCTTGTGGCGCATAATCGGATCTTGACTCTGGACAATCTGAAGGCAAGGGGGTGGGTTCTAGCCAACAGGTGCGAGTTGTGCAATTCGGAAGAAGAAAATGTTAGACATATCTTTTCCCAATGTAGGTTCGTCAAGGAGATTTGGAGCAGAATGAAAAGGGTTAGTGAGAGCATTGAGATTCCCGAGGGCGACATCATCGACTCTATCAGGAGGTGGCCTATGAATTCAGAGGATAGCATGGATAATTGGTTCCTCTTTGGGGCTCTTCACGCGGTTTGCTGGCAGGTTTGGCTCGAGAGAAATAGGAGAATTTTCAAGGGAGTTCATCGGCATCCGAAGCTTGTTTCTCGCAAGGTTCTCAGAGATACAGTGGAGTGGGCTAATGCTTTTGGAAAGACAGAGAGGGACAGTGGGTTACAGTGGCTTGAGGATAAGTTGAGGTTCTGTTGATTTTCCGCTGCTTCCTCAGTGATGGTGTTCGTGGCCAGTTGGTTTGTTGGTGCGAGATGGGGGTTGCTGCTGTTGATTTTCCGCTGCTTCCTCAGCGTTGTCGCTCGTGGGCTGTTGGTTTGTTGGTGCGAGATGGGGGTTGCTGCTGTGTTTTTGTGTTGTTTGTCTGTGTCTTTTTTCGTGCGCTGCCTGTGAAGCAGTATCCAGGTGTCCGCCTGTGATGTATTGTGTTCCTAGCAGGGGTGGCTCGGTCCACCTAGCTGGTTTTTGTACGGATCGATTGTGGCACTCTTGGCCTCCCAGGTCTCTCTTTTCTGTTTCGTTTCTGGGCAGGTTTTTTGCGGCCTCACTCTGTCGCTGTACTTTTTTGCTTTTCTGGGAAGTTGGGTTCAGTTGCTTGTGAACCCCTCTTCCTTTGACTCTTGTTTCGATTTTGGTTCGTTTTCCTTTAATTCAATCATCATTATAAAAAAAAAAAAGAATTGGGTGTTCTAGTTAGGGCTGCAAATGAGTAGATGTGGGTTTTCATATAGTTTGGACTCGATTTGTTTATTTAGACTCGATTTGTTAATATACGAGTTGAGTTTGAGCTCAACTTGTTTACTAGATTGGTGATTTGATCTCGGCTCATTAATAAGCTCACGAGCTCTATTGGAATTGAGTTCTTCAATTAGCGCGCGAGATCGCCTCGAGCTAAGGTATCATATAATTTAGCTCGTAATTTTTAATTGTTCATGTCATGTTATTTATTAGTAATTAGTATCTGAGCAATCTACGATACATAATTTCTCTTTCAAATTATAAATGAAATATATTTGATCACGTGCTCAAATTCTTAAACATCATATGTGGTGATGAGATATATAATCTAACAAACCTATGAGTTATTAATAAGTCGATGAGCTATATTGATTGATTCGCTCATACTTTGGTAGTTGAGGTGACTCACTACTGTCGAACCAACTTATAACTCAAAATGAGTTGACTCAAGAACTGAGGTCAATAAGCCGCCAAATAGAGTCAATTGTCGAAAGAGTTTTTCCTAAACCGAACGACGAACCGCTCGTGAACAGATTGACTCATTTGCCACTCTAAGTACAGTATGCATTACTATGTTTAAGATTACAATAAACTATAGATTAAAAAGTTAATTAACTATAGACTACTAATCTTTATAAGCCTTTCCTAATCCTAGCGTACCAATTTCTGAAGGAAGCTTTTGTAACCTTTGAGATCAGTACAACACATTTTTCTACTTAAAAAATACCTGGGACAAGAATACGACAAAGGCAGCTCGCCCAAACCAACGGCAACAGATGCCTTTTTTCTCAACCAATTAAGTCTCTATCAGACTTATCATCTCAAATCTTCCTTCATCTTCGTCTTCATTATCATTTTCATAAAAATAAATTAATGATGATAATTTACACGCACCAATCCAAATGTACCAACTTATAAATATAGAAACGGGAACAATAAAAAAAATATAAACAACCATATCAAATTGAATTCCTATTTTCTTTTTAAGGAAACGAATAAAAAAAGCAAAAACATAAATTAAAGTTTCTCTATTGAATATTTATACTTACAAAATCACGAAAATTAAGATTAGAAAAGGAAAGAAAAATAAAGAAATTAAAGGACACGGAAACTACAGAGAAGGAATTGGCGCCGTCACGCTACGTCACCGTCACCCCCAAGTCAAAAAAGCCCATCCCAATCCACTCAGGCTCCAGCTGTACCCGACCCGACTCCGACTGCGACGGAAACCCTCGCTTCGTCCCCCTCGCCCAAACCAATTCCCCATCTCCCAGCGGCGCAATTTAGCACCCACACCGCCGGCAGAGTCCAAATTTCCAACATCATTCACACGACGGCGGCCGACGATTCATCGATAACGCGCGCGTCCATGTTCAGCGGCTTGCCGGAGACGGAAACCGAAGCGTAGCGCGAAGAGAAATCACGAAATCCACCACCACCGACGGGGTTGCCGTAATCGTCGTAGTCCTCGAAATCCATGTGCTGGCCCTCGTCGAAGTTCAAGGCGTAACTCAGGGGATCGTACTGAAACTTCCCGTGTCGGTTGTTACTGTTGCCAATCGCGCCCTTTCGATTGAACCTGCGGATGAAGGTCTTCCACTTGGGACCGGCGACGATCTCGGACCACTCCCTGACCTTCTTGACGGCCTGGATCCCGCCGGCCAGCCAGGAATTCTCCCACCAGGGGGAAGACGAGGGGGAGGCAGGAGAAGAGGAGGAGGAAGAGAAGGAACTGGATCGGCGGCGGGAGGGGAAGCAAGGGAAGGTGAAGCAGCAGCGGGAGTGGGAGAGGAGTGTGTTCTCCTCCGGGATGGAACAGGCGGCGACGGAATCGGATCTCCGTGCCGTTTCCGCGTCGGTTTCTGGTGCTGGCGCGGCGCCCATGGGAGAATTGGAAATCGGGGAAACCCTAATCTGGAGGTAGAAAGAAAACAGAGTGGAGAGATGTTTGGTTGGGAGAGAGAGAGAGAGAGGGTGTGGGATAAATATGGGGGAGAGAGAGGGCTTTTGTAACGGAAAGTTACCGGCAACCGGGGGAAGTGGGAGAAGTGAGAAGTGGCGCTGGCGGGTGAGATTTTCTCGTGAAGTTTTCGCGGGAGGGTATTTGGGTAATTGCGGAGGGGAAGGGAGGAGCCGTTGACGGATGGACTGGTGACGTGGATAGGGGGAGTTGGGGTATCTATCTAGCGGGAGGGCATAATAAGGTGCGGCGCGGAGTTCTGGTGGGTCCGGAAGGTGAGCTGTCTTGCCTTTTGTAATGATAGGGGTTTGGTTGTCCCGTAATTATCGTGGTATTCGGTTTATCGGTTAAACGTTGATCCGTTGCGGTGCTTTTCTGGACGATGATTGTCCGGCATACTGTATGTTTCGGTTAAGTGATGAATGGTTGTACTAACTCATCGTCCTAACAAACACAACCCTTACCCTTACCACCACAACCCTTGTACCGTTTTACCAAAGGTGAATCCATTCCGTAAATAGTTGAGTTTGGTCAAAATACTGCCGGACTGACGGTGGGTTCGTTTCTGAACGAGGCCAAACCAAAACTAGAGCTCAGTTATGAGAACCAAAGCTTGTCTTTGGTTGGCAACAACGTCGAACCAAGCTCCAATTTTGGTTTGACCTTGATCCAAACCAAGGTGGGTTTCATTTTGGTCGGGCAAAAATGATTTTGGTTTGGTTTTAGGGCAAACCGAGGTTTAACCTTGCTTTGACCATGGGCCAAACCGAACGAAGTCTATTTAGACCCTCGTTCAAACATGGTCAAACCTCGGTTTGCCGAAAATTTCAATCAAATGTCGCCTGTGCTAACCCTCATAACAATTAACAAGTAATCGTGTTTTAACTTTGGCCCATGAAGTTAAAATTGTGAAACTTGTCATGTCGGTAAGATGAATAAAATAGACTTCAATATTGACGAAGAAGTAACATAGAAAAAATGGTGTATGCAAGTATAGGGAGAGAAGCAACATCCACATCAATACATATATATAGATTCAATGGGATAAGGTTGGAAGAGAGGAATTGTAATGTGCAAGGATGATATGCAAATGTGATAGCAGCTTTGTTGTCTCTTTCGGCCTTACGAAGGAAGACTGAACTGGTGGATTCAGATTTTAGGCCAAGGAAGTGAAAGATAACTATGGAGAATCTATGAATGTTAAACAACAAGCATCCCAAATTGTTTTCTTCCCTAATAAACCTACCATACCATCCCAACTTCCACCAACACATAAAAAACACACTGTCACAATCTAACTACCTCATCATTCCAATGGAACATCCACTCCCTCCTCTCCCAACCATGACTTTCCTTCCTTCATTGGCCAAGCCAAAGTCCAATCATTTCCTTAAAACAGTAGACTACACTCATATCCAACCTGGAATTTTTGTCCCATCCAAGCTTCCTTGGGTTGGTTGTCTCCCTAAGATTGGGTAACCCAAAGTTTCATCATGATGCCCCAGTTGACCTTTTTACAAGCTGCTTACCAAGCATGTAACTGGGAACCTGCTAGATAAGGAAGGAAACTAGCAGCCAACTCACAAGACAGTGCTGGGATGGGAAGTCTAAGGTTGGTAATGGTGGCATGGTCCAGGAGTTGCACCAAGCACATTCCTGCAAAAAGAAACCACTGCACAGGACACAACCTCTGGAGGAAGATGCAGAAATAAGCTTTGAAATGAGCCAGCTGTGACATCCTTCATTTTCCAGGTAATATCAAGAGCAGATGAAGAGAACCTTCAGCATAGTATCACAAGCTTTCAACTTAAGACTCTTCACTCATCAATTTGAATCTTTCTAGTTTTAATATTGGACCATCACAAAGACAGACATATGACTCTAATGTCTACATCTCAATTCTACAGATCCAATGTTTTCAAAACACCGATGGGATGGGAAACCATGCCTGGAGAAAGATGTGTCTCTTTAAAAGTGCTTCTCCAGATTCCGGCAAAAGAAATAAATTAAAATAACAGGACTGTCAAAGTCCTTGATCAGTGATAGAACCTAGACGAATGACTGTATGAGGATCTCAGTAACTCTAACAAGCAAATTTCAGGTATCTTATCATGTTGCACCAGAGTTTCCAAACAGATAGGAAGAATGATGCTAATGTGTCTCACAATGACTTCTTTCAAATCCAATGAAACTCCATTCCCATTCCAATTGTAAGATGCAATAGATGGGAAAGTCAGAAACCACACTTATGTACATAAGCAAGACAGACTATCTCAAGCAGAAACTATATTAGCAGCGCCCAATTTATACAACCAAAGCAAAGATAGCCACAGTTCGAGAAACTAATCAAGCTCTTGAGTACCGTTAGATTGGAACTCGCCTACTTACACCCACTTGCAGCAAACTCCTAGCAAGAGATCAAGGCTATCAACTTACAAGGCAGCTCTTCCAACATCACCACCACCACCACCATGAACTTTCAGAAACACCTTTCCAGCTTCATCTACCTTCCCCGAATCCAAAGCAATAGCAGCAAATATCGCCCGGAAAGCACCACAAACCACCGAAGGAGTTGATGAATCCATCTTTGACGAAACCCTAATCACTTTGTGAATCCCCAAGCGCTTCCCATCAACAGCACACGAATTTTCGACGTTTGAGACTTTAGCAATCCGGTCACTGAGAGTTTTCGAAGATATATCAATGTCGCCTCTGAGTGACTGGACAGCAACAGCCGTGTCGATGACATTGGCACCCAATATACTCAACGCATTGTTGTTCTCTAGGGAGTAGGAAGAGTGGGTCATCGCCAGGCGCAGCAGCCCAACCTTCTGGAAAGAGTAACTGCAAGGTGCAAGCACACAAATTTACAAAACAAAAAGAAAAGACCTTTTACAGTCATTCGCAAACAATACTGAACTGAAACAGGCTACGATTGTAGGAGATAAAGCAAGTGAAAAAAGCTAACAATGATTTTATCAGCAACCAAACGGAGTAGGTACGGAAAATGAGTGAACTTTACCCAATTTGATTCTGCAGAGCTTCGAGACCCGATGCAAATGGCGATAATGAGAGCTGGATTCTACGGTCAACCGGTTCATGGGCAGCAGTTACCTGCTGAGGAAAAAAGGTAAAAACCACAGCTCACTGGTTTTGCGGTCTTATGGATTCTTTATTAGGGTTCAGTTACAATTTCGAGACTTTGTAGGAGTTAAAAGTAAAGGAACCTGTGAAGAAGAGAAATCAACCAGCGTGATGGATAGCGCGATGAAGAAGAAGCATCGAGAAGCCATTGTTGGAGCCGGCGATCACTTCAGTCTCTTGCGGGCGTGGAAACTGGAGGCAGTGGGTTATTCATTCTCTTATGATCGCGTTGAAGTTTGAAGGAAGACGAAGGTAGTCAGACGGCCGGTTATTGTCGGGCCGGGTCAGCGTGGGGCTGACTTTCAGTTGGACAGAGAGGTCAGGATTTTCCGATTTTGTCCACTGATGAGTGGGCTAATGGGCCTTTCCTGAGTTTGGGCCCGAGTGTGATAGACCACAAACAACATCCAAGGCTTTGAAGTTTCATTTGAAAAGTAGTGTTAGGGTTAATTTCAGTGTGGGTAAAAATACACTTCATCGAACCGCATATTTATCGCGCGTGCATCGTCGAGTGAGATCTACAAAATTCAATAATCAAGTAACTCGTCGTGCTTCAGATGCAGCCTAATCTTCCAAGTCCTTCGTCACGACATCGATAATGGACTGCAAAATATCGACGTATTAACATAGAAAGCACACATTGTCCAGCTAAAAAAAGGTTCTTAAAATGAAACTCCCATATGAGGAGGTTCTTCCAATCAAACTTTATTCAAAAGGGTATCCAGTTTAGAGAGAGAGTCATTGTTGTAACAGATGCCAGGACCGAGAAATCAATACTCAAAAGACCAACGCAGCTCAGATCACAATCTAAAGCAATCGCCAAACATAGCTCTAATGAGAACTCTACTTACTTCGACTCGGATTAATTCCCTAAATACAGATAAAAGTAAAACAAATTCCTAAACTACCACACTTATAAAAAAATTTCCCAAAATACCTAAGTTTGGAGTGATTTGAGTTTGAAGAACTCGAACTACTAACCGGTTCGAGTGTAGGAGACTCGATCTAGTCGTAGATCGATGATATAAGTCTCGAACCACGTGGAGCTGAAGTGGTTCGAGTTCAGTGAACTCGAACCACTCCTTTGAAATTTCCAACAACCTTAACTTTATGCTCGGTTATCCGATCGTAGCAAACTTTTTTTTCATTTCACATAACTTTTTGAGGACTACAACTTTTATAATAGAAATATTTTCAGAATATATGTGAAAATGTGAAAAATAAAGTTAAATTTACTCCCAAACCACCTTATATTAAAAACGATTCCTAGTAAATGTTGTAGTACTCAAAAAATTATGCAAAAAAAAAAAACTTTGCGACTTTTCGATTGCGGAGCACAAAGTTATGATCCTCCAAAGTTTGACAAATTCGAAAATTTGCTCGTTTATGGGTAGCAAATGACGTTTTCTAGGAAGATAACCATCCAAAAATTTCTCGTTTGGAAAAATATTGCTCTTTTGGCAGAAATTCCCTATATATAAAAAATTTCCCGTGTCTTCGCCCCGAGAAAATGTCATTTGTTACCCCCTAAACGAGTAATTTTTCGATTTTGCCAAACTTTAGAGGATCATAACTTTGTGCTCCGCAATCCGAACGTTGCAAAGTTTTTTTTTATTTTGCATAGTTTTTTGAGTACTACAACATTTACTAGGAATAAATTTTCAAAATAGGAACAGTTTTTATTATAAGGTGGTTTGGGAGTAAATTTAACTTTATTTTTCACATTTTCACATATATTCTGAAAATATTTCTATTATAAAAGTTGTAGTCCTCGAAAAGTTATGCGAAATGAAAAAAAAAGTTTGCTACGATCGGATAACCGAGCACAAAGTTAAGGTTGTTGGAAATTTCAAAGAAGTGGTTCGAGTTCAGTGGTTCAAGGCTTATATCATCGATCTACGACTAGATCGAGTCTCCTATACTCGAACCGGTTAGTAGTTCGAGTTCCTCAAACTCGAACCACTCCAAACTTAGGTATTTTGGGAATTTTTTTTACAAGTGTGGTAGTTTAGAAATTTGTTTTACTTTTTATTTGTATTTAGAGAATTAATCCATTTTGACTCCAACTAGAAACCTTGATCGCCAGAGCATTAAGAACACATAGCTGCCCTTTTACAACGATGCAACTAGACAGACAGCTAGATACAGTTTCTTCCTTGATTCCCATGGCTCTTTGATCCCTACATCTAACTTTACTAAGTCTCACTATCAAGCTTAAGATACCATAGTCGACCTTACAGGCTTACACTTTTACTTCCCGGGTTGCAATCTGATCCGGAATTCTTTTCCGTTTCCACAAAGGATTCGCTTTCCCTTTGTCACTCACTCTCCCTCAGTTCCTTGTCCGCGTATGATTTAGCTTTACTTTACTCCATAAATAGCAGACGCCGGACGGGGCGTAGTTCACATTCGCTTCCCCTGCCACTACCAAAAACAGAGCACATCACTCTCTCTGCCTCCGGGCCCTGTTAATTCCTTTCAAACACACGAACATGGCTTCTCCTTCTTCCTCTGTTTCATCATCAATCAAAGCAAGCTTATCCGCGGCCGCCTCCGCGGCCGCCGCCATCATGGTCGCCCGATCCGTGGCTCAGGACTTCCTCCCCGACGAATTCCACGACTACCTCTCCTTCTACATCCGCAAATTCCTCAGCCAATTCTCCTCCCAGCTCACCATGGTCGTCAACGAATTCGACGACCGGCTGGTCCCCAACCAAATCTACGACGCCGCCGAGACCTACCTCGCCAGCAGGATCAACCCGTCGACGAAGCGGCTCAACGTCAGCCAGCCGGACAAGGAGAACACGATTCAGATCAGGATGGAGAGCCACGAGGAGGTTGCCGACGAGTTCGAGGGCGTGAAGTTCAACTGGATCCTGCGATCCAAGAAAATCCAGTCCCCACCGAGGAGGAGGCTCGGATCATCGCGGCGCGATGACGACGACGATTTATTAATGCTCTCCCACGCTAAGTTTTTCGAGGTCAGTTTCCCCAAACAGCACCAGGAAATGGCGGTGAAATCCTACTTCCCCCACATCGTCAGGGAAGCCAGGGCGATGAAGCAGGAGAAGAGGACGCTCAAGATCTTCACCGTGGAGCCGGACAATCTTTACGGGGACATCTCCGAGGTGTGGACGGGGGTAAATCTCGACCATCCGGCGACATTCGATACTCTGGCTCTCGATACAGAGCTCAAGAACAATATCCTGACGGACCTGGAGCGGTTCGTCAAGAGGAAGGACTACTACAAGCGAGTCGGGAAAGCGTGGAAAAGAGGCTACTTGTTGTACGGCCCTCCGGGGACGGGCAAATCGAGCCTGATCGCCGCGATGGCGAACTACCTGAATTTCGACGTCTACGACCTCGAGCTGACCGAATTGAGGGAGAATTCCGAGCTCAGGAAGCTGATCATCGCGACCGCGAACCAGTCGATTTTGGTGGTGGAGGACATCGACTGCACGGTCGATTTTCAGGATCGGTCCTCCGCCGCCGGCGCCGCGGAGAATTCGAATTCGAATTCGAGCCAGAGGCGGCACGTGACGCTGTCCGGGTTGCTGAATTTCATCGACGGGCTGTGGTCGAGCTGCGGCGACGAGCGGATCATAGTGTTCACGACGAATCACAAGGAGAAGCTGGATCCGGCGCTGCTGCGGCCCGGGAGGATGGATATGCACATCAATCTGTCTTACTGTACTCCTTGTGGGTTCAGGATTCTGGCTGGAAATTACCTTGGGGTGAAGGATCATGAGCTGTTTGATGAGATCGAGGGGCTGGTTTCTGAGGCAGAGGTGACTCCGGCTGAAGTGGCGGAGCAGCTGATGAGGAATGACGATGATGGTGATTCGGGAGGTGTGCTTGCTAGGCTGATTGAGTTTCTGAAGTTGAAGAAGGATGAAGAGAAAGGAGAAGTGGAAAGGAAGAGCGGAGAGATGCAAGAGATTGGGGACAGTGGATCGAGCAGCGGCAGTGATGACGAAGACTAAAATTTCTTGATCAGAAGTTTTGTGTTAAATGTGGTTAAATTAGTAGTGGTTTGTAATTTGGCACTTGATTTTCGTTGTAAGGGTTAGATTCATAATTATTTTTTATATAATGATTCGTACTTTATTATTAGTTTGAGTTTCATTACTTGTTAATTTTTTTAAATCATATCTTATTATTATTACTAGTAAGGAAGCCCGCGCTACGCGACGGGGAAAGACGAATGGAAAATGGTCTTTGAGATGTTCAAGTCTGACTTAGTTTTGATCCCACGATGAAACTAAATAGGCTACAAAAGACACCATGGGGCCTTCAAAGAACAATGGAAAATGGTCTTTGAGATGTTCAAGTCTGACTTAGTTTTGATCCCACGATGAAACTAAATAGCCTACAAAAGACACCATGGGGCCTTCAAAGAACAATAACATAAGTAGGGTACAAAAAAGATGATGTGTGCATTGGTCTTTCCCCATCTCTTTAAGAAAGTGAAAATGATATGCAAGTATCCAACTAATTGAACAAAATTCAGAAAATAGAGGGGATAGAATCCAAACCCACCAGATGGATTGTGTGTTCACTTCACAAAATTCAGAATGGGCAATCTGTGAAACACCTGGATGTAAAACCACTGCGATTATGATGTTATAAGACAAAAAAATGAACCATCGAGGGTAATACGGAATCATTAGCTTGGTCTCGAGCTCGTAAAGGCTACACATAAAATATGTCAATGTTGATATACTAAGGTTCAAAAATGTTGTTTCCAATTCCAATACAGATGTCAGTAACTACGACACTTAACTAAATATCTCTTGAGCTTTTCTTAACCTTTAACCCGTTGGATGGTATCGAGCTATGACCAAATGCCGATTCTGCTACTTAAAAGAAAGAGGTATCAGGACGACAATATATTTAGGAAAGCTGGTGTAAATAAATTGAGTTAAGAAATTAGAATTGTTTCTGCAAGTGCATAAAAGAGAAAGAACGGGGCTGAAAATACTCTTTTCCTTTTCTTTTTCTGGTCTGCATCCTTGGGTGCTGCTGTTTGCTGTGGGAGAGACCCGTTTCGGTTTCTGTTCCGCATCTTTGGATGCTGCTGTTTGCTGAGTCTTTGTTATTGGTTTTATTTAGCTTCTGCAGCTGGTGGGACTTGGATATCTCAGTTTGGGATCTGTCTTGTGCTTGTTGTATGTTAGTTTTTTGTGTTTTCTTAATAAAATGATGTCACCATTATAAAAAAAACACTCTTAAGGATTTGCAAATAAGTCAAATTGCACTCACTGGCGGATAGCAAGAACAATCACTTGAAACCAATAGCAAATCTGTGACCACAAACTTCATATATAAAGACATCAATCAAATACATACAGCCATCTAGACCTCTGAGGAATGTGGAAAGGAACCCCTCTTAAGCAGCATATAAAAGTACAAATTCATATCCCAACCATTTGCAGGGACCGCTCCATGCAAGTGCAACTCTTAACTACTTGATCATGAATGTACGAACTAACTAATAAAGAGGCAGGAACATTGAACCAATGAAGCATTTCGATCCAAAAGCTGACACTCACAAAGACATAAAGTTTGCTGCAATGGGAAAATTGAAGGTATAAGTTCCCTCGTTATCAAGCAGTATGGAAACTTCCCTGATAACTGCAACAGATGAAAAATACGGGATTATACAGTTAATTGTAAGAATGTGATTTGATGACAACAAACAGTGAGCATAAAGGGAACTGATAAAGCATTTCACAATCTTAGCACCTCGCTTATGGCATCAACATTTACAACTTCTGAAGGCCATTATATACAAACTCCAGAATTCATGAGAAGTAAATAAACGCTAACCTTGTAACATAACCCCAAATTACCAGTGAGAATGAAGGAAATTAAAATATAAAAAGGAAACTCTTCTGGAAACTGAGACAAAACGGTAGTGGCTGGAAGTGCTTTCTTGCTGTGGTTCTCCTGCGCCATGTTGACTTGTGGTTAACTGACTCACAGTCACGAAGCAATAAATTTAAACTTAGCAATAAGAAACAAAGATTTGCCAAAGCAAGAAATTAAAACACACTAATGGTTGAGAGTGCAGAGAGAGGAAAAACAAAGATTGAATAACAACTGAGTAAAGAAAGTAGACAAAGCAAGAAAATCCAAATCCAAATTTCCCAAAAAGGGAAAAACCACTTGGTTTCTAAGTGTTGAAGCAAGAGGGAAATAAATCCAAACCAAAGGTCCAAACCCAAAACAAATTTCCTAACCAGCAATTACCAATAACTCAAACATAGAGAAATAAACAACTGTAAGCTACAGAGCTGAGTGGTTTAAGCTAATAAAACTCACCTGCCTCGAACATCGCAAGTCCCTCCTATGCAGGCTTGTTGGGACACCGAAATTGTGCTAAAATTGCAGGACCTGGACGTTTGGGTGAGTGGCGCCCTTTCAGAAGATTATTTGCAAGGAAATTTGTCTCACTTGGCTGGTAAATGATCCCTACAAATGGCTTCCTCTCAACCTAACATTACTAATCTTCGGAGACCATTTTCTATTCTCTTTGTTCCCTGGGTCTTACATTGTTCTATTGGTGTTTTCACGTCCAAATTGCAATTCTTATAAACAACTATATTTGCATAGTTTTGTAAATTTCATCCTAAATAAGCAATGCACTTTGTCATTATTAAAGCAAAATCACAACCCTATTTTGGTTAATTAAGCCATAATGCAATAAAAGTAAGAGCAGAAACAACTATTTGTAAGTTAACAAATTCTGGTATGAATACAAGCTTACTTTGTTTAATCCTAGTATGTCTTCTTTTTCTAGAACGGTTAATTGTATTCGAGATTGCCATATTTATAAAGCTATTTTCAACATCAAAGACTGCGTTCAAGTAATTTGCCGAAGCTAGGAAAAACAATTGCTAATCCGAATTCTTAAACTCCAAACTAATTAGTGAATTACCTAAATTCAGACCAGTCAATAAGCAACATAATGCTATCACACAACACAAAAAACTGAGTCACAAAGCATATAAATAAACATTATAAGTTTGAAGGTCCAAAACTCTTTCAACTCAGAAGCAATTGATCTAAAACCAGCTCAGATGATACCAACGAATAATGAATATGCCTCACTGTACTTGGAACTATAAACTATATAATAGTTATAAACTAAAAAAAACTAACTATAACACAGCAGAACCTAGAACCCCTACAGCGAGAACTGGCATTCTGAAGTGAAAATTTGAAAACAGAATACAAAATTCCCATGCAAAGAATATCAAATGGCAGATAACTAAAGCAAAATTAGGAAGAATTGGCAATACTTGCATGAATTCAAGCTTGATTACTATCCTAACTTACCTCATATTGTACCCAGAGGGAAACGTATTTTCAAACAGGAAAGTGTTACTGAGCTAACCAGCACAATTAAGGAATAATTTTAATCTATACAACATCAACCTTCGGTAGCTGATATTTACAATGATTAAAGTTAAGCACTGTGGCGCACTAATGCACCGAAAGGTCTTCTCTCCTCTCCTTTGTAGGTAATGTTTAATTACTTTATGTCGCATGGTCATGCAATTACGTTGTGTGTGCTTCTCCAATAGTTATTTGTGAAAGACTATTCAAAGTGAGGCCACTGCAACATGGCTTCTCATATATTGTGATTGAATGATGTGGATAACTAAAAGAAACTATTATGAGTAAGAAGAGAAGAAACTGAACAAAGAAAATGAAGCTCATCACTTACTTGTTGCTTTCAATCTGACAAAGTCAAGTTCCCATCGAAACCAGCAGTGTTCTTCCAAGGGCGCAATGTTTAGCTTTCATTGTATTAACAATAGTTACAGATCGTCACCTATTGGTACAAAAAAAATGAAACACTAAATTGAGAACCCATACCGGCAAACAAAGTAACAAAAAAATCCGTATTAAAAGGAGCAGACAAATTAAGCTAAAATACCCAGCAACTTGCCCGTCAGCTTACAAAGATGTTATGTTCATATTTAACGGCAAGTATCTTATTCTGAATTGCAAAATAATGTACAGTTAATGTTTTAGCTCTGGATTGCCAAATCGAACCTAAGGAACTTGTATTTCCTAGTAACGCACTAAGAAATAGAACACAAAAGTACAGTAAGCCAACAATCCCTCTAAAACTATTTTCTAGTTGCAGATAAAGTAATTGAAACTGCTTAGCAGCTGACGATATAGAGAGAAGAGAAATACAACATAAAATGAGAGTACACGAAAAGCAGGAACATAATATACACCATTGTTTACCTGATAGTTCTTGATCTCACTAAGCTCGAAGTGACAACCTAAGAATCAGGCCAAGCACCAAAATCAGGCATTGGAGAGCATATACAAAGCTTTCCAGTTGACAACAGTTATAAGGTATAACATATCAGGAAATTACAGTTTACAAAAAACAGCAAGTAAGAAGCAACAGGTAAATCATTCAACTGAAGGAGACGATCCGACCTGTCAACGATAATGATTGAAATTTCTAGCCAGGTAAAGGATCCTTCCCTAGACACTTTCATGGATGCATATCAGATATCTACCTCGTCAACATCATTCTGGGGCGAATGAAATACTGTAAAAAAAATACCATACAGAGCTCACATATGAGAAATTCAATAACCTGTGTATCCACCCTAACCTCTACAATGGATATAACTTCGGAAGGTTGGTCATTAATATGCCCATTTATTCGAAATACCCATCGAATTCATTCAGAACACCAATCGAATCTACTTACAAATCCAAACAAACTGAACCTTTCGTGTCTCAATAAGATGAACACTCCAGTGTTAGCTTGTTCACTCATAACTCATAAGGCATACGAAAATAACGAAATTATGGGTAGGCTATCACACAAAAGGCTTAGGGAACATCCACAACACTTCACAACAGGAACTTGAACTCATATCATATAATCCACCTAATTGACAACAGGCAGGATCTCTAAGAATTTGGTATGTTCATGGCACATGTT